AGTGGACTGTGTTCTGGACAGGTATCCTGGTCAAGGTCAGGTTGTTCTCATGAACCAGGGCCACACCGGGCCCCCACCGCCACCCACTTCCCCTTACCTATTCACAGGCTGGGAGGGCCTGCGTCAAGGTTATAGCGCTGCCTTCTCCCAGCCAGGTCTCTGTAAAGCAGGCCAGGTCAGCATCCTCCTCTAAGAGGAGGTCATAGATTATATGAGTCTTAATTTTAACTTACCTGGCATTGTAAAGGAGCAGGGCAAGGTTCTGTGGAATGGTTGATACACTCTCCAATCCATTCCAGGAAACAGGGTGAACTGAAGGTGGGATAGCTTTCAAACATCTATCCCACCTTCTTTTGTAACAGCCATTCACTGTTCCCGCCAGACCTTCCTTTCCCCCGCACAACTTCAACTTCCACTCCTAGATCATTCCTGGCCACTACAGGTATTGTAGTGGTATTGGGGCAACTGAATGGCCTCCTTCATGGCATTCTCCTGACAGCACTGCTACAGATGGTGATGTTATTGGGGCAGACTAAATGTCCTCCTCACCCACTCCCCCTGGCAATGCCACTGCAGATGGTAATAGAGTTGGGGTCAGGCTGAGTAGCCTCCTCCCCGAGCTGCTCACAGCTGCTCTGCTGCTGGTGCTGGTGGTATTGGAGGTGGGCTAAATAGACTCCTCCCTGAACTGCTCCCAGCTGCACCGCTTCATATTTCTTCAGAGGGCAAGTATCTTCAGAAGGGTTTTGCCATTGCCATCCCCAAAGGCCAAGATAGTGTGACTTGCTCAAGGTCACCCAGTGGGTTTTCATGGCTGGACAGGGATTTGAACACTGTTCCTTAGAGTCATAGTTCAATATTCAAACCATTACACCATACTGGCTTCTAAAAAAAAAAAAGGAATAGGGAACTCATTGGGACTTACATCTGGGTACATATGTGTATGATTGTATTGTTAATGAATGTTGTTCTAAAGAAACAAAACTCTTCTTGAGTAGATAGTAAAATCTCTCCCAAGATTCAACCTCTGTTAAGTCTCATTTTCTTTCCTTTGGTACTGTGCAATGCTGGCAGCACACACAAAGGATTAGTAAATCAAAGGGAAGAGGAGTAAAGAGAAGAAAACCAATAAAGTTAAGTCTTAAAGTACAGTTTTATGCAAATCTCAAAAACAAACAGTGGAACTGAAGGCAGGAGGGAAAATATTTAAAAAAACAAACTCAAGGGTTCTGCCAAAAAATAACCAGGATAAAATAATCCCACTTCCAAT